CCATCTAACTACTAAATTTGATCGGCAACGTGACAACGTCATAATCTGATTTATCTGATAAATATTCTTTTTCGCACTCGATTTTGTTGACCTTATAAGTCACAGTTTTTCATTAGAATCTCAGGTAAATCATCTTGAATTAACGGGTCAGTGAACAAATAATGATTATTTCTAAAGTTTGTCAAGTAATAATTATATTGTTTCATGAATTGGTGAGCTAAAAGAATTTAGGACAGTTTTTTGTCAATAGATAATTCTGGAATATTATTGTACTATCCTTCTGTCGATGATCAGGTGACCACTCAGCCCTCTGTTTATCAAATTTATTCTAGCAAAGTCATTATTTCACAGGAATACAGCTTCGTCATTCCTAGCTCAGTTACTTTCACGAATAGCAAAAATATTACATGTGAATTTGATATATCTTAACAATGTGAATGATAAAGAATGCATACAGTTGAGCTTCAGGTGTAACCTATTTGTGTAGAATATAGACTACGTTTAATTATGTTTAGTTTTCTTTCATTCTAAATAACTTATTCGGAGGTATTTACAAACTTAAATTCCGATAGCTAATAAACTAATAATTACTGTTAATGACATTGCTGTTTACTGGCGAATGTATGAGCAATATACAAAGTCCCTTTTGAGTAACTCATTTAATTTGATAATCTTTAGGTTTTGTATAATGCCCGAATAATCTTAAAAATTATTTTTTCATTACGCGTATTACCACTCGTGGAGCATAGGCCTTCCACCAACTCCATCCCGGAATAACTTTTCTGGTTGTTCCCAGTGGTTATTCATTCTTTTGATGTCTGCTTCCCATTCCCAGCGGATTGTGTTATATGTTCTTCCTCTATTCCGTTTCCCTTACTTACGCCAGTTGCCCCTCGTGTAGCACAGGACTCTTCTCTTTTCGCCTTCAGGATTCCAAGTTTGGGCTTGCTTCGTGATTCAGTTTGGTGATTTCTGAAATGTGAGTCCTATCCACCCCCAGTGTCTTCGTAGTTTCCTCTTCAGCTGGAAGTTAGTATGTTCTCTACCGCAGTAGGTTATTGTTGTTGTTGATGATGATCATGATTGTATTAGTTCTCCAAGTTTCAGCTCCGCAAAATAGGATTGTCCTGACATATGTATTGAAAATTCTGACCTTGGTGTTGGTTGACAGTGGTTTTGAGTTCCATCTGTTCTTCAACTGAGGGAATTCCGCCATTGTTTTGCAAACCAGTGCCTTTACATCTAAATCAGATCCTCCTTGTACACCAATGATGCTGTCCAGGTACGTGAAAGCTTCCACTCGTTTCAGAGTTTATCCATCAATTGTGATTAGGTTGGTGCTCACTGTGTTATATTTTAGGATGTTGTATCCCCCCTTGTACATGTTGAGGCCTACTGCTGCAGAGGATGCTGTCACATTGTCTGTCTTCACTTGCATTTGTTGGTGTGTATGGGATAGAGGAACCAGGTCATTTACGAAATCCTAATTGTTTAGCTTCATCCAAGGTGTTCACTGTATTCCGTGCTTTCCCTCAGATGTAGCGATCATCAGTATTCAGCTAATTACCAGTAGAAAGAGGAAAGGTGAAGGTGAGTAGCCTTGTCTGACATCAGTCTTCACTTTCAATATATTTGGGAGCAAGCCCCGATGCACGACTTTGCAGTGTAGTCTGTTTCATGAATTCCGTGTGATATTGACGATCTTCGCAGGTACATTATAATGTCGAAGATGGTTCCATAAGTTTCGCCTATCCACTCTGTTAAATACTTGATCGCAGTCGAGGAAGTTGATGTATAGTGATGAGTTCCATTCAATTGATCGCTCAACGATGATCCATAGTGTCACAACTTGGTCTGTGAACGACCGATCCTTACGGAATCCATCTCGTTGATTTCAAAGTTGGGCATCCACGGAGTCTTTCATTCGGCTCATCAACACTGTGGAAAACCTTTCCTGGTACTGATAGTAGTGTGATGCCTGAGTATTCCTCACACTTGCAGAGATCTCCTTTCTTTGGTATCTTGATGACGTATCCTTTTTTCCAGTATGTTGGCACTTGTCTTTCTTCCCAAATCCTTCTGAATAGAATATGTAGCATCGCAGTTACTTCTGTCTGATTTCAGTGCTTCAGATGGTATGTTGTCTGACCCTGCTGTTTCCTCACTCTTAGCTTGTCTTACGGCCACACTGATTTCTTCCAATGTTGGTAAGTTAATAACTTTGGGGAGGTGTGTACGTGTTGTTTTGATGTCCAGTGGGTTCAATGGAGCTGACCTATTCAAGAGTTCCACAAAGTGTTCTATCCATCTGTTCCTCTACTCTTAAATCTCAGTGATTCTCTTACCTTCGTCCTTGACTGGTCTCTTTGGTTTACCATATTTCCTGTCAGTTTATTAGTTATATCATATAACTGTCTCATATTTCCTTCCATTACAGCTTTTTCCACTGTCGATGCTAGGTCTTCTACGTATTTCTGCTTGTCAGCTCTAATGCTTCTCTTCACATGCTTGTTTGCTTTTGTGTATTCAGCTTGTACCTTGACTTTCTCTGCTCTTATCCGACTGTTGTTAATTGATATCTTCTTGTTCTTCCTTTCTTGAATCTTGTCCAGGGTTTCGATAGAGATCCGTTCCTTATCATGTTGCTTGTTGCGGCTCAGCACCTTCTGACACGTTGAAGTTATTGCCTTTTTGATCTCATTCTAGTTGTCCTCTATCTTAGTTCCTTCTTTGAGTAGCTCTTGTAAGGTTTGGAACCTGTTGTTGAGAGTTATCTTGAATTCGTTGAGTTTGCCTGTATATCGAAGGAAGGCTGTAATGAACCTTTGTTATGATATTTCTTCAGTTGTACAATGTTTCTCCGGCTTTAGTTTCATCTTGACCATCACCGGGTGGTGATCGGAAGCTGTGTCATCTTTATTTGTTCTTCCATCTTCCGTCGGGCTTCTTAACTTTTTATTGATGCATGTGTGATCGATCTTGTTCTCTGTAGTATGGTCTGATGAAACCCAAACGGCTTTCTGTATGCATTTCTGGGAAATATTGTACCACATATAACCACTTTGCTGATTGCAAATCTCTCACCATTCACTTTGCTTTCTCCCATAGTTAATGATAGTTAAATTATCGTAACTGTGTTTGGTTGTCAAACACTACTTGTACTTTACTTGCATTTGTTATTATTTAGAATAAATTTAATGTAAATAACCTCTTTTCTATATTGTTCATTGTAATTCCTAATTCTCTCACTTAGTAATTCAGTATTTTCCTTCTCATTTATTTATTTTTTACCTTCAGTATCTAGCTAAACGACAATTTCAACGACCCAAATCTTTATTCACTACATTATTTGCATCTGTAGCGTCAAATGGACAACCATATCGTCGAATTACTGGCATGGCTGTACCATTTCAATATTCTATTGGTAATAATGATTTGTCACCGCCGTCATCATCTATACATTATAAGCCTGCATATGTAAGTGTAAGCTTACATGAAGGCAGCGTTGAAGCGGACGACCCAAAATTGAAGAATGTGCACCAAACGGAAATACTTGTAGAATTAAAACAATCAATTCAGTTGGTATGTCAACTAATATTCTTTATATCGTTCTTATTATTTATCATATTTTTTAACGTACGTATACTGCTTGTAACATCTTTAATTATCAGTGTTTCATCTGTTTGTGTACAATGTCATAGTGAATTGCTTTTAGATGCCAGTAGTATGATTCCGTTTTTTTATAGTTTACTTACCTTACAGTTTAGTGTAGACAGATACATGACTGGTGAGTTACATTCATTCAGTTAGGTTCCTTGTACTTCTGACGGTAGATACTTTACATCATTGTGCCTATGTCAAGACTTAATGCGGTCTAATTGTTCATGTATTACATTACCAAATGCCGTGGTACGGCCGAGAGTGGGGAGAGTCCGCTCTCCCCCTCCAAATGCTCTCACATGGCCACGCGTATATAGCTTCTACCAGGGAAGTCGTACTCACAGCCTTCTCGTGGCGAGGGTGTTATCTACGAAGATGAGAGGACGAAAAGCGAATGTCCAACGCTTTAACCAGATTTCAAACCAATGGTGCGCATGGGCTCCAGTATCCTGAGGGAACAAATGGCGTATGAAGCAATCGTTGGTCACCGGCTACCATGGGACTGCATCTCCCCACGATGCCCCACTGCCTTGTGGGTTAGACCTTTAGGTCAAAGGCTCGGGGAGTGGCCCCCTAAGATAACCACCTGCTTCGGTTTGGGCACCCGGGCAGTATCACAGCCCACACACAAACGATGAACTCTATGTCTATGGCAACTACTTTTCTCGCTCCGAAAAACAATCAATCGATTCAAATAATTATCATTACTATCATTGTCATTATTGGTACTATTATTATTACTATTATTGTCATTATTATTATTATTATTATTATTATTATTATTATTATTACTATTATTGTCATTATTATTATTATTATTATTATTATTATTATTATTATTATTATTATTATTATTATTATTATTATTATTTCCCACATTATTCACCCTCTTTTATACTTATACAGCGGCTCGTCTTTGGTGGAAATCCGACTGTATCTAAACGTTCTCGAGTCACTGTCCGGTTGAAAGTTGTATGTTACCATCGAATATGAGTACTGAAGCAGTGTTTCTGAAACCACGTGCACCATTCAAACTGGCTGCCTTCAACGTTCGTACACTTATGCAGGTTGGTCAACAGATAGGGCTGGCTATGTCTTTAGAAAGTCTTAATATCGATGTTTGTTGTCTATCCGAGACCCGTATTCAAGACTCTAGCGAAGTACTACAAATTCGCTCTACATCTGTCGCTTCGAAAAGCTTGTTTTACGTGCGCTTATCCGGGGACCCTGTGGCATCTTCGTCTGCTCTTGCTGGCGTTGGTGTCGCACTAAGCGCTACAGCTGAGGCAGCACTAATCGATTGGATCCTCATTAACAGTCGGTTATGTGCTGTTAGATTAGAGAGTTCCATCAAAGTGAGAAGAAATCGGCGTGAGAAACGATGTCTTTTCGTCATCTCCGCCTATGCTCCGAGAGATTCCAGCCCGGATGCAATCGAGGATGAATCCTACCACCAGTTAACTGTTCTCCAGAAAGTGCGTCCGACAGATATTGTAGTATTAGCCGGAGACTTGAATGCTCAGGTCGGGCGTCTAGGCACAGAAGAGAGTCGTTTAGGTCGCCGATGGGGACTTGTTGGTCGCAGGACAGGTAACGGGGACCGTCTACTGCAACTGTGCACAGACCACAACCTGTTTCTGGCTAGCACTAACTTTCGGCACAGTCATCGCCGATTTGCCACCCGGCGTCCTCCCTCTGCATCTCAAGCCTGGACTCAGATTGATCACATCGCGATCAGCTACCGCTGGCGTGGTTGTGTACAAGACTGCCGCTCCTTTTCGAGTACCTATCTGGACTCTGACCATGCCTTGGTGTGCGCCAATCTTGCCTTACTTTTCAGTGGACAAAGAAGTGACCGCCATCAACGGATTGATATTAGCAAGCTGGTTGCAACTTCTGTTGCAAGTAAGTATCGAACCGAGCTAGCTTCTAGGCTAGCTACCATTCCACCGAAAAGTATAGATGAGCATTGGTTGCAATTGCATGACGCCATGAAAATGACGGGTACAGTCAGTTGCGGGTTCGCGAAACGTCCCGCTTATAAGCACTGGGTTTCTTCAGGCTCCTTACAACTCATTGAAGCCCGTCGGTCTACTCCGCGTGACAGTGAGTTTGACCACAAACGAAGGATGTTATGTAAGGAAATTGGGCAAAGCTTGCGTAAGGACCGAGAAGCCTGGTGGTCGGAGCGTGCTAATGAGCTGGAAGCAGCAGCTGCATCTGGTAACTACCGGAAGCTCTTCCAGCTCATCCGAGCCACTGGCAGCAAGAAGTCTGGTGTGAGTGGAACAATCTGCGAGGATAATGGGATGCCAATCACTAACATCCATCGACGTCTTGGACGGTGGGCAGAATTTTTTGAAGGGCAGTTCAACTGGCCTGCTGCTCTGGCAACATCGGTCAGACTGTCCTGCCCTCTATGGCCGGTGACGACTGATCCACCAAACGAGGAGGAAGTCCGCAAGGAACTCCAACTCTTGAAGCGCTACAAATCACCTGGCCCAGATGACTTACCTCCGGCTCTTTTTAAAGATGGTGGTGACTTTTTGACTAAGGAATTGACGACGTTGTTTACCAAGGTTTGGGAACTAGAGAGTGTACCAACGTCATGGAATGAGTCGATAGTTGTCCCTATCTTTAAAAAGGGTTCACGTCGTTCCTGTAACAACTATCGGGGGATAAGTCTAATTCCGATTGCGTCCAAGCTATTGGCTTCCGTTATACTTCATAGGTTGTTCAAAACCCGAGAAAGATTGACTCGTGAGGAGCAGGCTGGGTTTCGTTCTGGTCGAGGATGTATTGATCATATCTTCACCCTCCGCCAAATGTTAGAACATCGCCATTCTTATCAAAGGCCAACGATCGTAGTGTTTCTTGACATCAGGGCTGCCTTTGATTCGTTGGAAAGGACTGTTCTCTGGGATTGTCTATTGAAGAAGGGTGTGCCTGAGAAGTTTATTAACATCCTAAAAGCCCTATATACTAACACCTCAGGCAGAGTGAGGGCATACAACCACATCTTTCCATTGTTCCATTCGAGCAGTGGGGTTAGGCACGGTTGCCCAATCTCACCATCCCTCACCAACTTTGCCATCGACGACGTTCTGGAAACAGCTCTGATGGATGTAAGTAATGGTGGTGTGGATCTGTTGCCTGGAGAAAGACTTCTTGACCTTGAGTATGTGTATGATATTGTCTTACTGTGCGATAATGCCCAAGGCATGCAATCCTCACTTAACCAGTCGGTAATCAGTGTCCGTAAGTATGGTATGTGCTTTGCACCTTCGGAGTGCAAAGTAATTCTACAAGACTGGTAGGATTCTAATCCTATACTCACCCTGGATGGTGAACAGATAAAAGTAGTCGAGAAGTTCGTGTATCTAGGTAGCTGCATAAGTGCTAGTGGTAGCGTGAGTGCTGAGATCAATTCACGTATAGTGAAAGCCAGAGCGGCTTATGCCAATCTGGGCCATCTTTGGCGCCTTCGTGATGTTAGTCTGGCTGTAAAAGGTCGGATCTACAACTCGTCGATGAGAGCAGTTCTGCTCTATGCTTGTGAAACCTGGCCTCTCCGAGTTGAGGACGTTAGACGACTTTCTGTGTTCGATCATCGTTGTCTTCGAAGGATTGCCGACATTCAGTGGCAACACCATTTTAGCAATGCAGAGGTTCGGCATCGTGTGTTCGGGTACAGAGATGATAATTCAATTGGTGTCACCATCTTGAAACACCGACTTCGGTGGCTTGGACATGTTCTCCGAATGTCGTCCCAGAGAATTCCACGCCGTGCATTATTTGCCGACTCTGGGACTGGTTGGAAGAAGCGGAGAGGTGGTCAGTGTAGGACATGGTGTCGGGGTATGAAAGAAAGCTGCAAAGTACTGGCTTCTGTCGGTCCTTCACGACTCCCTGGTTGGGGTCCGAGAGATGGTGCTACACAGTGGCTAGAGACGTTATCAGATATGGCTCAGAATAGAAGCCAGTGGCGATCCTGCTGTAACCTTCTTTTACTTTCTTCATAAAAAGTGGTTGTGTCTCCCTTACCTGAAAGATTTCTTCCGATTGTACCTTTGCGTTCCCTGTTTACTAGCACATTACCTTACACCAATCTCTTCGTTATTGTTCTCTCTTTTTTTGTGCTCCTTAGCTTCTTTTTTTTTCTTTCTTTGTATTCCTCTTCGAATATTCATTGTTCTGTGTGGCGCATATATATTGGCGCTCTCTTGTACCAATATTCATGTGTCCAAATAAAAATAATAAATAATATCTCGAAAATCGTTGTTTAGCTGTCAGTGACATTCTGGATATAATTCCGAAAGAAGTACGTGAGGCTTTTTTTTGCCTGGTGAAAGTCTTTTCAACTTGTAGTACCTGAATGACATCCGAATCGCATCTAATTAATTGGTAACGTCCGTAAATATGGGATATACTTTTTACCCTTAAAATCCAGTGTACTATTGCGAGGCTAACGAAATCACTTAAAAATAGTCAAGAAGTTATGTCTTATTAGTTGTGTGAGTGGTAATGTTAGAAAAGGAGATTACATCACTGTGTGTATAGTGAAAGTCAAAACGTTATATGTCAGTCTGAGCTTAGTTAAATCAGTGGTATACTGATTTCGATGACCTAGTCATATTTTATGAGTATCATTTCTGTAGCTTTCTACATCGCGCTTTATTTCCCGACACTTGGACTAAACAAAAAAAGCTGAAAGGGAGTCGTTTTATAACATGTGACCATAAAATAAAAGATTGCTCTATAGAACGGGCTTCTGTTGGTCCATCATGACTCCATGGTTGAATTCTTAGTGATCGTGGCCTGGGATATTATCATCCGTAGCTCAAAATAGAAGTAAGTTTTCTACCACACTTAATAAAAGTAAGATGATCCTTCATAAATGAAGTTCTACATTATCATATTTATAATGGAACTTTTCTCTATATTTACTATTTTCTCTATCTAGTTAGTGACCATATGACTTTCCTTTCTACTAACTGTGCACAATAATATCATTCTATTTTGTATTGCTCATTCTTTTGATGCCTTATTATGACAAATATTTCTTATGTTACAAATAAATAAAGCTAGGTTTCGAAATAAAAAATGGTCACCGCCTAATCGTGTCACTCGTCTCTCACTGTCAATTTCATCGTGTTGTTTTATATTTTAGATTGTACGTCACTTCCGTATAAATGATCCTGAACAACACGGTGACGCTACCGCACATGCAGATTATTCAATGGAAAGTCACAAATTAGACCTCGATTCTTATGTACAAGTAAATTTTAGCTACTTATAATTTTGTTTGGTTCTTCTACGTTTGCCATTTACTAACTGAAATTTATCAACCATCTGGCAAGAGAAACATTCAAGTGCTAACTCTTTGCATTTATATTTTTCTATCGCTGTAGATGAGATCTCATCGGTCTTCAGTACTTAGAGACCTCATGACGGTTTATATAAATCTCGTATAAGTCGTTCACTTGATGAAACCTATCATTAATGGATAAACTCTAAGAATCATTAAGCACTATATATGTTTCCATTTTGTTTGGGACTATTCATTTGAACTTTTCACTTAATTCTTTCGATGTCTCAAAACCAACATTTGTTTCCTGCTAACCAATAGGAAATTCAGGACATTATCCGACTACATTTGCATCGTATATTAAGTTTCTTTTTCGTCGACACACTTTCTCGTTTAATTATAACCGTGAAATTATTCGTTTTTGTCTTTCTCTTTCAAACTGTTTGTGAATCTAGACATGTATAAAAAAGCATTTCTTATCCAAATTATGGCAGAAAAGAAAACGAACATACGTCAGTGTTCATATTCAAATATAAAAATCGAATTGTCATTTATTCAGTGATCTCAAGATCACTGTATCTGAAGTCCTTTTCGGGATTTTTAATATCGTAAATGTAGCCATTCAAAGACACTGCTGTCACGTATTAAACCACTGATGTTGTGGTAGAGCTATGCGTCTGTACGACAATTCATTGATTTCAGGGTATTACGTAGTTGTTACCATGACGTATTTCGTTCCAGCACTGGCTCAGGACTTTCGAACGGTTAACTTTTGTAACCAAACCACTATAATCCATTGAGGATTTTTGACGACATTTCAGAGTCTGGTAACTTGATTATTTAAAAAGATTAATTCAGTAACTTCGTTCGTACTATAGGTTTTGAACATACAAACTTCTGCTCCAATCAACTGTCGCTACCATAAGAAATGATTTCTGCACTCAATTGTTTACATCATTTCGATCAATTATAGATAATCTACCAACTACTCAATAAAAATAAGTATTTTATATTTATGTCCTACGTCATTAGATCACAAAACAAATTTTTAAAAATCATTAATTATTGTCATATTTTTTGTCAACACATTTCTATTATGTCATGTAGAAAAATGATCTAAAAATTGTTTCATTTACAATATTGTCTCATTTACTCAGTATTTGTGTCCTATATTGTATATTATATATATGCATAGTAAGTCTGAAAAGTATGAATTGTTCAGGAAATATCGGAAGCAGACAAATATTTTATTCTGTTTCGTTGTTGCAACAGATAATTTAGAACAGAATTTCGCTTCTAATTATTAAATCATTGTTCTACAAGCCGTTTTCATTAGTCAATGGTTTCGGACTACATTATAATGTTTCGTTTCGTCTGAGATTCGATTGACTGTCACCATCCATTCAATAGAAGATAGATGTTTGTGTACAGACATCAGAATGTAATAAAACACTTACAGTAATCAAAACAACTACCAACAGTTTTTTATAATTTCTTAAACATACCATTTGTTTAAAAATCAGATCGTGCAACATCGTAGACGACGTGCCAAAGCATTGATCGATTTTGAACGCTTTGAAGTAGATGAACTGGAATTTCATAAAAATGATATCCTAACCATTATTAACTCAGATGACGAACATTGTTGGATCGGTGAACTAAACGGTCAACGAGGTTGGTTTCCTGCCAAGTTTGTTGAGTTGTTAGATGAACGTGGAAAAAATTATTCTCCAGCTGGTGATGATGGTGTAGACAGATTAATTATTGGCCTTGTTCGCGGAAGGTAATTTTATAATCATTATATATCTTAATCACAATTCTTATATTTTTATAACCACACCTTTTAAAAGATTTGCTAGTTACATTGATCAAAGTTCAAAGATGATAAAATGCATGTACTTATATTTAACTAGAATGACTAAACTTTTCAACATTTTTGTTCTGATAGGCTTATGTGTTTACCCATTGAGTTGCCAATTATGTCCTAGTCATAGCATTCTTGAATTGTACATGTGTTTACCATCTTATCTGGTTATTAATAATACAAGGGAATTTAGGTTATCGGGTTTTTTTGCAGAATAATAAATCTCTACACAGATAAGTTAAAGTGAATAGAATGTGGTTAGAAAATATTCATTTTGTTCTACCCACTTTTTAACGTAGTGGGATTAGGTATTGCTTCTCTAGAGTTTTTTTGGAACGAAATTAAGGTCATCAATTATTTGTTTTTATTGAGATAAAGAATAGAGTAATTCTTTTTTTCTCCCTTCAGAATAAAAAATAAAATTTAGAAATAAGTTCACCATCTACTATAGGTTTTATTATAGTACTTGTTATTATTACTCCATTCTTAATTTCTCTCTATTCTCTTCTTTCCAAACTCCCTTAAATAATCTTTATTATTTCACTTACACCCATACTAATGTACAATTAGCAAAAGCATTTACAACTTAGTAAGTTAAATACACGACTTTGGAACATAAAGTCATAAAGTACATCTAGTGAATCCACTCACGGTCGACAGTCCACGAAACATTCTCAACTACTAATCAAAATACTAATAAAGCCAACCACTTATCTCCTACTATCTTTTGCTACCCAGAAAATAATTTGACACATTTTACATTTCCGTTTATACTCCGTATTATCATTGATTAATTGGATCAGAGTAGTTTTGGCCCATAAATCAAATCACTGGTACGTTCAAGGCATCTTATTATTTCAAAAGTAAAAGTTGATAGATTTTTAAGACTAAACGTAATCGTATTTGCTCACTAAATTAAATTACATAACATGTCCACATACACATTGCTAACCCTGACGTTTCACGTTTTTTTCGCAATCTAATCCCATCTAAAGTTTCTTGGGATATGTCACTCAAATATGATTGATTTTTATCTAATTGAAAGGCTATGTATAAGATTTGTGTAATAACATTCTATCTTCCTTTACATCCTCCTAAGCATTCCGCCATTTTATACATCGCCTTGAGTAATAATTCGTTTCTCCCCCTCTAAATCCTAAATATTGCCCCAGAACTTGTCTATCTGAGGTAACGAGTGTATTACATATACATATCGAAAATTCATTCTCGTATTCGACTTATTTCGTACCTTTATTTTTTAACGCTAATCAAGTCGATAATTATATACGAGGGTAGCCGGCATTCATGTTTCGTTAACATCATACGATCAAATCGGAGTTATATCAACGGGCCACTCAAATCTAATCAACTTTGGTTAACGTCTGATAAAATCTCGACACAAATTCGCAAAACCTGATTTTCTTTTTCTTACTTGCGTCGCTTGTTTTTCCTTTAGTTTTTGCCATTCACTTGGAGCTGTATTTTCACATGGATTGAAGCGACCACGTCTACTCGGTGATACTGGTTGTCATCCATGGCATTTTATTGAAGAAGCTGCGGCTAAAGAAGTAGAAAGAGATTTCTCTTCTGTTTACTCACGTTTAGTATTATGTAAAACCTTCCGATTGGACGAAGAAGGCAAAGTCCTCAGTCCGGAAGAAGTGTTATATAGAGTGAGTTGTCATGCTTGTATTTACACATTATTAATCTTTTTTCTATAGTCTTCCAACTATCGTTTAGCTTTGTTGTTAGACATGTAAACGATAATCAAAATCGACAGAAAAGTAAACTAATCATAGATATTCACATTTCCGTATTATCAGCTTTGCTCACCATTAATCTAATTTTAATTTCACTGATTACAGCAATTTTTGTTTACAGTTATGTCATGGAAATTCCAATTGTCAGCATCATTTGAATCTTGTGGAGACGTCATTAGTCAATATTGTCCTAGTAGACATATAAGTGGTATCCCCTTTTAGGATTTGTTGAATTTATTTCGATCATTGTCTAATTATCTTTGTTTCCTGGTTCCTCATTCTGTATAACTAATCACATATTGGCCTATTTGATTTAAGCCACTAATGACATTTTTACGAAATAATTACAAACATATTTTATAGTCTAATGTTATTTTTCAGAATAATAACTGATTAAAATCCCATCTTAGGCATTTTTCTACCTTCCCCCATCCATATTTTTTTCAAGAGTATTACGTGACATTGTTAATTATTTACGTCATTTGACTCCAGAAACACGGATTATTTAAGGGTTTATTGTTATTATTATAACCATTACTATTATTATTTATTGCTTTTATTATTTGCAATGTATACAACCATAAGCTACATAACTTCATTTTCATACCAAACAACGTAGTTTGTCGCTATATTTAGCTCAACCTGTTCTTTTTTCTGTTTCTATTTTGACTATCGGAATCACATGCGCTTTCCCGAAAACGCCTACTCACCGCTTCCAATCCGCCTACGAATGCTTATATACTGTCTATACACAAAAACATACACGCTTGTACAGACAATACATAGTATAAACATGTCACACGATTTAGCTAATGCTCATATGGATATCAAATTTCGTTCCTTGATCTGCTCAGGTTTAAAGTGAGTAGTTTCCCTAGCTTTTGCTTTTTCGATTCTGTCTTTACATGTAATATTGATAGTTTTATCTGCTTTCTATTGACTGAATGCGGAAAAAATTTCTACGTATAAAGACTAAAAATGAAAATAATATTGCTTAATAATTAATAATCCGCCCTTTGGCAGTCTTTCAGTATTTGAATCCACTTTTAACATTCACTTCTGTATATTTATAGACAGAGGAAAACATTAGTTGTAAACTCAAGTTCCCATAACTGTTTGATTCCTTGTTTTAGCTTCAATACAGTCGCTTATTCTGATTTGGCTAATTAAATGTTAGTTTTTATTGTGAATCATTAAAAATCATGGGATACTGGATCTCGTACCAGTTTGTATGTTACATCCAATAAATGTGAAGCGTTTGATTCCAGCTTAATATTGCTTGCTTAAACATGATACCCCTTTTGGGCACAAATAACCTACTAGCGAATTCCAAGCAGTTCGGTCCTGGGCTCACTTTTCAGTTTGTTGACAAGTTCTATTCATGCTTTTAATGCCTGCTTCGAACTTACGGTGAGATATGACGTTTGGTCTCCACACATTTACGTGATGAACTCGAACCTCTCATGTAACTGACCCTTATCACCACTTTCATCATAACATTGGTAAATTTTGCTTGTTTGTTTCGGAGGATGGGTTGCTGATGTTGGATGCGTGGATTTCTCATCCTATTAGTGGCTTTTGTGGTTCTGTGGAGAGAACCAGTGCCATTGCTTGTGTGTGGAGCATCTTTTCCTTGATAATGAGAAAACAACAATTTATCTTGTAGTTAGTCTTTTCTCTTCAGATAGCGTCTAACGAGTTTCACTTGTCCTAAGCATGATCTGATCAGCTTATATTTTCTCATTTCTATAGCTATCCGAATGATACTGCCACATTGCTCATACACTCCATATTGCTACGCATATTGTTGTGGTTGTTTATGGGAAAGTCATCTGCCTCATGGTTTTTGTAGAATCCTCACTTTGATGATGGAGTATGATACCTGTTGCATATCATGACCGTTATCCCTCGAGTACATAGTCTAATTAGTTTAAATGTTTGTCTATGGTTAGCGATTTCGTAGAGGTTGGTGGCAATGCTGCTGTAACTTTCTTTTAAAAGAAAAGAAATCTTTCTTAGATGAATTTCAACTGATCTTTTCTAAAATTATTTTTCTTGTTTACTTCCCCATAGATAGTTCGCCTCTTTCTTTTTTCCTCAATTTTATTACTTCATTTGTTTAGTAAATTTTCGATGCCGTGTTATACCAAAGTGTATGCGCTATGAATGTATATCCATGTAAAAATAGCAGTCACCGTCAAATATCAGCCAAGTTCAAGAAGATTTTAATAGTTTTCTCCTTTAAGCTTACGCTGTTATTCGCTTTAAAGACAATGAAAACTTCAGTAATAATTCTCTCATGTCAGATAACGTTTTGCTTTCAAAACATGATGTTTCACATTTCGGCAGATTGAATTAATGATACTCGTATAACAAACGTATTAATATGTTTCACTGAAGTATCAGCTGTACTAAATATTTTACTTGTGATTTTAAAGTTTTATTATCATGTCCAACATTCACATACTTAGCTTAATTACTTTTTCTGACAATTTTTAAGCGAACAACTATTACATCTATGGTTCGAAATTCTTTGTTCATCAGTTAAAGTAGTTAGTAAATGGTATCATCCTTGGTCATATCTTCGCAGTCCTGGTTGGGTTCAAATTAAATGTGAATTACGGTATGTGTACAGGTTAAAAACAGTTTTCATTTTTATAGAATAATAAATTGTTTCATTAGATGAAACTGAAGTATGAATTTGTACTTTGTCGTTTGTATAAACGTAAGCTTGCTAAATATTGAAGTTAAGTGAGTATTTAATGTAACAGCTAGGTGGCAGCCAGACCAGATATGATTAAAAAACGCTGAGAAAATAGAACTATATTTAAATAGAGTGACAAAACAAGTCATATTTTCCTTAGTTTATACGAAATATTTATAGGTAGAAATGATTTCACCACTAGTTCGTCGATTCGCCACAATCAAAATGAAGCAGCAACTTTGTAAAAGTTGTTAATAGAAATCTTGTTTGAGGAATTAACAAATATATATACGTTCTCTATATCGTCTTCCGAGAATACAGCCTTTTTACTTATTATTTGTCTTCTTTATCCGTTGTTGGGTTAATCAAACGTAAAGAGTTGCATAGTGGCTAAACTTTTCCTCATACCATAAGAATATGTAACCGTTTTAGTAGGGAACAATTTCTTTACTCTTAATGTTTCTATGTGTTCATAAGGGCCAACCTTTTAGGTTATTCGCGTCATAAATGCACCGTATTAATGTTTTAATGAATTGGTACAACAAACAGTCAGATTCTCACTATTTGATATTATCATCTGTTCCCGTCTATTGAAAAATTTCGGAGATCTTAATCACTGAATAATATATTCATACATATTCAGTTTTTGAGGTGTTATACATTCCATCTTTAAATTGTGTCACATCTACTCAAACACTGAATCAGTCAGTCAGCTACAACGTAGGACCAGGCACATATGTGCATCGGTCCAGGTCGCCATACCTCATTAGCACAGCAAGATGAACACCGGATTCATAGGAGTGGTTAGGTCAAAGGTGGTAATATATAGGAGAAAGATTGCAATAAAGATATAGTATAGGAAGAAAGAATTAGTTCGCAGAAAGAAAGATATGAAGTGATTTTAATCTCTTAGTTTAAGGGAAGACAGGGAGTGTATAAACCGACGCCATTGTGATCGATTCTGAGCCATGTCACCAAGAGTCTCCAACCATTGGTTACGATGGTCACGCGAACCCCAACCAAGTAGTCTGCATCTACCAACATGGCTCAGACTAGAGGTTAGTGTCTTCAAGCACTGATGCCACGTTTTGGTTTGGCCGCCCCTAATTCTCTCCTAACCATCTCTAATACCCGTTAGCATTGCACGACGTGGTAATCGGTGTTCAGGCATACGTAACACGTGACCCAACCATCTCAGTCGATGAAGATTAACAACCTCATCAATTGATTTACCATCATTACCTAATACCCTGCGTCTAACCTCACTATTACTTACCCGGTGATCCCAACAGACGCCAGAAATATTTCTAAGGCATCTGTGGTCAAATACTAGTAGCTTGCGGGTGTCTTCTACTCTTAAAGACCATGTTTCGCTGCCGTAAATTAAAACAGAACGAACTGCCGCGCTGTATACTCGTCCTTTTATTGATAGACGGATATCTCGCCTCCGCCAAAGGTGACGTAAGTTGGCAAAAGCCAAACGAGCTTTTCGAATCCGTGCTGAGATTTCGTCAGACACCAACCCATTAGGGCTGATCAGACTTCCAAGATAAGTGAAGTTGTCGACGCGTTCGACTACTTCACTCCCTATCATTAGTTCAGGTGTTGACGCAGACCAGTCCTGAAGCAACAACTTGCATTTAGAGGGAGAGAAGCGCATCCCAAACATTCTGGCATTGTTGCTTAGTGCTAACAGAAGACTCTGCATTTTGTCAGCGTTTTCACCAAACAGGACTATGTCATCTGCGTATTCCAAGTCGATAAGTGGACCTCCTGGTAGGAGATCAATACCCGAGAATTCAGTCGACGAGAGTGTTATTTCCATCAATAGGTCTATGATGAAGTTAAACAAAAATGGAGAAAGTGGACAGCCTTGACGGACACCACTTGAGGTTGCAAAAGTAGATGACAGTTCGCCATAAGCCCTGACTCGACTAGTAGTGTTCGAGTAAAGAGCCTTCACAAGGTTTATGTACTTCTGAGGTACGCCTTTCAATGACAGACACTGCCACAGAGTCTCGCGGTCTACCGAGTCAAATGCTGCCTTTAAGTCAAGAAAGACCACCATTGTCGGACGCCGATAAGTATGCCTGTGTTCTAGAACCTGACGAATGGTGAATATGTGGTCGATGCAGCCACGACCAGGTCTAAAGCCAGCTTGGTTCTCTCGAGTTTGTAGTTCACGAGTCTTAGTTAGGCGTCTGATAATTATCGAGGCCAGTATTTTAGATACTATGTTTGTTAAACTAATCCCTCTGTGGTTGTCACAGGATGATTTTGACCCTTTCTTATATATTGGGACGATAAGTGATTGCGACCAGTCAGATGGGATAAAGTCTAATTCCCAGATCTTAGCTAAAATATTAGTCAACCTAATCGATAAAATTGGACCACCATCCTTAAAGACCTCTGGAGCCAATCCATCTGGACCAGCTGCTCTTCCTCGTTTCAGATTAGCTATAGCCTTTTGAACTTCAGCAAGAGTTGGGGGACCTACTTCAATGTTCCATTCACACTGTCTAGGAATGGAGGGTAGTTGTAGAGTAGCTGAAGGCTAGCTGAACTGTTCTCTAAAATGTTCCGCCCATCGTTCTAAACGTCTGGACTGAGAGCAGATGAGGGTGTCGTCTTTCTCCGAAATAATCTCACTTACACTTGACTTATCAATTCCAGTTTCTTTTATTAGTCTGTAGAGCTGTCTTGTGTTCCCTATAACCGCTGCCCTTTCCATCTCTTTTGCTTTCGTTACCCACCACTGCTCACGGTCGTTCCTTAGACTTTTTCTTAACCTAGATCTGATTTCTTTACGCTCTTCATCATGTTCAGAACCTGATGGGACGAGTTTGCGAGAATCCATCAGTGTGACAGACCTTGAAGAAATCCACTGGTTCCTTGCAACTCTGTGGTTTAAATCATTAACAGAGGTCACTGCTGTTTCCACAGCTGATTGTATGCCCTTCCAAGCAACATCTGGGTCAGCCTCGTCTTCACAACTACCTAAGTGTGACCTCAGTTGTTCCTGGAACCTACTTTTGGTTTTCTCGTTACTCAACTCAGTTCTAACGGGTCTTTTTAATGTGGCTTTTTGCGTCCAGTGAGGCGCAATTAGATGCGTGCCCGTATTAGGGCATGGTCGGAGTCCAAGCAGGTACTCCAGAATGAGCGACAATCTTCTACCGACCCTCTCCAACGATGACTGATGGCAATATGGTCTATTTGAGTCCATCGTTGGTTTGGTGTAGGGGGTCGCCATGTTAGACGATGTCTCTCCTTATGCTTAAAATTTGTATTTGCTAAAAATAAACGATTGTCTGAGCATAGCTGCAGCAGACGATCACCATTATCTGTTCGCTGTGTCGGAATACTAAAATATCCACCTAAATGCCTTTCTGTTTGGTTTAAACTGCCTATCTGAGCATTAAAATCACCTGCTACGAGTACTATGTCTGAGCGTTTAGCTTTCTGAAGAAGTTCAGAAAGCTTTCTGTAAAATTCATCTTTCACTTCATCTGAGCTGCAGTCAGTGGGAGCGTAGGCAGAAACGACAAAAAGGCAACGACGTGTGTCCCTATCCTTCCGAGTTCTTACATAGCCGTTCAGCCGAACAGCACATAGACGACTGCTGACGGGGATCCACTCTAGCAGTGCTTGTCCGGCCCTCATGCTTAGTGCTATGCCTACACCTGCCAGTCCACGAGAACTTGCCATCGGGTCACCAGATACACGAAGGGTGTATCTCGTTGGCTCTCCGTTTTGCCAAGGTGAGGTCAAGTGAATAACCACACTGGAATCCTGTATGCGTGTTTCGGAGACACAGCATACATCAATGGTAAGAGACTCTAGGGTTTTAGCCAAGGAAGCCTGCTGACCGATTTGACATAGGGTTCGTACGTTGAAGGCTCCAATGTGTAGTTTGGAGCGAGGTTTCAGTAGACCTGGGACAGTGTTTTGCGCACTAGAATCGTTGGCTATGGTGACACTTGAGGTGGAAGCCGAGAGAGGAAATTCAAAGTTGAAAGTCGATGTAGGAGGAATAATAGGAATTGAAGAGGGAGGTTGATTATGAATACAGTGGTATTGAGTGCTGTTAGAGGTATGAGGGCGGTTATCACTTCCCGGTTGCCCACACCGTGGAAGGGTTGTTCTGGAGGTACCTGAAAAGGAAATTGGATTAAAGGTGGTCTTAGTGACCTGAGAGCGTGACCGCAGAGCCCAAGGGACAACTGCTTGAGGTCGGTCACACACGACCTTTTTATGGGTAATTTTTGTGCTAGCTCCGTACTTATATAGACCTTACCGCCGGAGACGGATATCCGTGGGATAAGGCGAGGTGTGCATTTTTAGGGTCGACCTTTTCTAACCCCACCCCTCCTTGTGGGAAGGCAGCATCGCTGTCATGCTGGTTGTCTGAAGGAAACACCTTACTGCTGTCACACCTCTGTACAGTCAGCAGTACGACTTCGCCTTCGGACCTTGGGTTTGTTGCTTTTAGTCTTACCGCTCTTCAACCGACCTGTCTGACATGGTAGGACCTTGAGGAACGGTTGTTCCAGCCGGTATAGCTCGGTTGCTTCATCACGATAGGCAAGCCCAACCACCGCGTCAAGGTAACAACAACACTGAATCAGTCCCAATTGATTAACCACATAGAACATAACGGGTCATATTCGCTCATTAATTTCAATGTTGTACTTGTAGTGTACTTATTTGCTTTTCATCAGTTGTTCTATTCAACAGCTTTCAATTTTTATAGATATTGTTTCCAATGATTATTCACATAGCACTGTCCTTTTTGTAATTTCTTAATAGTGTTCTTAGTCAATTCGCGTTTCATTTATCACCAATATACGAATTAAACAGTCTTCAAAATTTCAATCATATTCGACAAACTGGTTTTACGGCGTCTAAATTATTTGCTTTATCATCGGAGAGTTTGCCGCGTCGTACCAATAAATCCAGCTCAAAGGTAATATCTACGATGGGTAATGCATTAGACTTGCATAAAGTCAAACCTTTACAACGTTTAATGACTGCTTCATCTGTTGTCGATCCAATGAATGATCCGCCATGTCTGTCTTTATCATCGATTCTAATACCCAATGATGAGAATTTGAATGAAATAGATAGTAACATGACAACAGCTGCAACAGAGACGACCGGAGACATGCTAGTCAAGTATCATCTCTTCAGCTGGGAATTGTGACAAATGTCTTAATACCAGCCGACGTTTTCACTCCTTGTTGTTGTTTTGCTTCACGATTTCGCACCAGTACTCAGAAGTGGGTCTTGAACAAGATCAATTTTTCTGTGATTCCTTTTCTAATTTTTTGCCTACCGCTGTTTATCATGCCTCTTTTATTTCTATGTGACTCGAAGTTTTATTATTTTAAACTGCGATGACTGACTTTTTTTGTGTCTTTTGTTTAATTAGACTTCCATGATTTCCTCTCTTTAAATTATATGTATTACAAGATGGCGGTCTGTCATGTCATTTTGGTGTTGGTCTTGTGATATTTGTCTGTTAGGGGGTACGTTCAATTTTTAGTCGTGTCTTACTGTAAACTGTTGTGATTGTTTCCTTACTTTCGTTCACCTCATGGTCTTTCTTTCATATCACATGAAAAATTTGTTTCTATTCTCAGTTAACTTGGAATTAGTCTTTTTTGTCTATACATAATGAGTAGGTTTCGTTGACTTTCCAAGATCTTTGTAACAATATAAGATATGTGTTTCGTACACCAAGAATCGTATTTCATTTGTATTTATTCACATTTTTCCAATTTCCATGAATTTACTCTTTTTCTAAAAACAAAGTATATAAATTATGTATTTGTTTAACTCTTTTCTCTGCCTGAATCATTCGAAATATACACGATAACTGCACTTTTGTAACGGTGTTTTGCAATACTAGTATATTTTTATAACTATTACGTACATATAAACATATATTTTGGCGGTGCATCATGTCTGACAAAATGTCGTCAACTGAATGTGATATAATAACGAATCATTTCCTTTTTTTCAAGCGAACTATTTTGTGAAATTTTCAAAGTTTATTCACATCGTGTAAACGCCTGTCTGTGTGCTATCACTACATAAATATCTGTGAATCGTTTGTTTATGATTGCAGTCTTGTGTCGTACGTGTCTTTTTGTTTCGTCTATTCACTCATTTCCTTTTTGCTTATTCGTATTGTTTTACTGATAATATACACATATAGTTGTTTATCCGTCTTCATTTTCATTCTTCCTCCATCCCCCTCTTCACTTTCCTAACATTTTGATCTATTTTCCAGTGTATTGTGAGTCAAACTGTGATTCATAGGTTAAAGTTTTGTTTGTATGCATATGTTTGTTTACTGTTTGTTGAAAAAAGTAGAAAAAACCGTTCATGTTTTTCTTGATCGTTCCAATCACAAAATAAAGATTAATAAAATTCGAAAAATTCCTCCATTTTTCAATTGTGTTTTCCA